GAAGAAGCGTGCGAAGAAGTTGAAGAACGAGGCCGGCAAGGCTGCTCCAGCTCCCACCGCCGATGGGACCACTACTACGACCACCACTACGACTACTACCACAACTCCTAACAAGGAGAAGGATAAGCCCGCTGAGAAGGATGAAAAGAAGGAGGCCGCCAAGCCCGTAGAGAAGAAGGAAGGTGGTAAAAAGGACGGGGAGAAGAAGAAAAAGGTGAAGAAATAAATTCATCAGTCTCGCTTGAAGGCCTCCTCCTTGGCCTTGTAGCGCGGGAGTGAGCCTCGGTGCGTGCACACAAAAATTTGTACAGATGTTGATCAGTACCTTCTTGCTTTAAATTACATGCACGATTACTGGATTATCTTCCACAGAGTGAACCTAAGACGCTTCCGGGTGGCGTTGTGATTGAGGACAAGACTGTTGGATCCGGTAAGTGTCCCTTATATTAATCATAATCTACGGCTGTACGCTATGAACGGAGTATTCACGACCCCGTAGGTACCCCCGCTAAGGCTGGAAAGAAGATTGGCATGCGCTACATTGGTCGTCTCAAAAACGGAAAAGTCTTCGACTCTAACACCAAGGGTGCGTAGATCTACCCCATCATCCCCCTACGCCACTCACCACCTCATAGGCAAGCCATTCTTCTTCACCCTCGGCAAGGGTGAAGTGATTAAAGGCTGGGACGAGGGCATTGCTGGGATGCTCGTGGGTGGCGAACGTGTACTTACGATCCCTGCTGCCAAGGGGTACGGCAAGCGTGGTTCTCCCCCTGACATTCCTCCCAACTCGGAACTTATTTTCGGTTAGTCTTTTTCTTTTATATTCCATCATTATACGTGCTAATGTAGTGGGTACCGTGCAGAGGTCAAGTTGATCGAGGTCAAGTAATTTAGGGATGGGATTTAGTTTAAGGGTTTGGACAATATAAAATGCTTTTTGGGAAAGAAAAAAAAATACGTTGTATCGCTCTTGAAAATGTTTCGAACAACCCTCCACACGAAATATGGTGTCCGTATCGTGAATTTATGCTGTGGTCTACAATTATATGCGGAAAGAAGCGCCCTGTGGCTACGGCCCACGAGCAAGTCTTGGACGAAATTTTCAGCAAGCGTAATTAGTATAATGGTTATTATCTCGGTTTCCCATCATATGGCCTTATCCTTGCAAGGAATCTTACCGAGGATCGGAGTTCGATTCTCCGGTTACGCAGCAATGGTTTTCTTTTGACCAGGACACGGGGTTTACCTCGGGCGGGAGCACTCTAATGGGTTCGTAGAACCCTTCGAAGCTTATGGCCTTATTTTAGGCTCATGGCACCTATGCATTTCTTGTGCATACATTATACGCCTTTTGGAAGAATTTACAGGAATCTTACCTTACTTTAATGACCTGGGAATCCAAGGTCTATGTCAACGAGCTGAGCTCGAATATACGACAGATATCGATACCAAGCTTCTCCGTGGCATATCGCGGACGTGCTTACTTTTGGACAACTTAATATAGTGGGATAACGATATATCTAACACTCGGAAGAGATAAATAGACAATCGTCAATGAATTTTGTTTGTTAATGAATTCTGTGTACAATGTTTCAGCAGCATTTACCACTACCTAGCTACCAACGACGTGAAGCCAAGGGGTCGCACTGGAACCGGATTCTTAAACCAATACCCGGCTTACCCATACATTAAAGGTTCGTCAATCATTAACAACTAGCGAGAAGTCCTTGAACCATATTTTCTGGTCCTTGGGAGTCGCAAAGTTGGGTGTATGCCCACCAAAAAATGTGCTAGACCGCGAATCCATCAGTACGCGGACCAAAAAACAACTCGAACAAGATGCAAGCTTGCCTAAAGAATATTCCACTAAAGCCGGGGACTTTTCTTGATGCTGAAAAGTTTACTACATCCGGGTGCCTAGTCGCGCTTGCGGCTTGTGCTTGAGTAACTGTGGTCAAATGTACCTGGGTGACCTGAGAGACCACTGTGACTGTCGCGGGTCTCGCTACCTTCGTTATAACGAATACATGCAGACCAGGCGGAGGCGGAGGGATATCTCTCCGTCTTAAATCACGACGCAAATGCGGGTTGGGGGAAAGGAGCACGGGTTTGCGGCCAGACATGCTCCACACCTTATATGCCCGTGAGTTCATGCTTAGTTGACCAACTATTTTCGGAGGCGCAACTAGAATATGACCTAAGAGGCCACCGCTTTCTTCTGACTCGTCTGGGGTACCAGAATCTTGACCCGACGCGTTTGCTCCATCCGCGCTCGTCGAATCCCCGACCGAGTCAGCGCCCACCGCGCCTTCAGCCTCTTCGCTATCGTATTCGTCCCCGTCTTCTCCATCTTCCCCACCGGTTTGTCGATAGTACAGTCCACTCAAATCCATGATACGTTCTCCGTTGACATCAAGAGTAAAGTATCCGTCCTGCTTTCCGGGAGTGTTGAGTACTACCGTTTGGCTGACGTGCGTCCATTGCCCAGGGGTGAATTTGAAGGAACCTCGACCGATAGAAAGTCCGTAGTCGGCTTCGCATATAGACCGAGGAGGGGTGTTGCAGACTTCGGGCGTTTGTTTATCCTTAGGAGCATACTAAAACCTCGAACGAATCAGTAATGAATACTCTCAGTGGCCATTCAACTCACTAGATATAGCTCACCATCCGAGTTTGCCCTCCACATGAGCCGTGTCGAGAAACAGTCTAATGCAGCATCCCCACCACTACACCCCGTCTTACCGCCATAGAGTCCAGGCAATTTTCCTCCGCGCACAGGTTCAAAGTCAGCCGGGAGAAATACACTATATCCAAAGGTGACGTTCTGAGCATCCTTTAGAGCTGGTAATGGGTTCGCATAAAAATCTGCTCCACCCTGGGGGGAGTTTCCAGGATTGATTGATCCCTCAGGAAAGGACACTTCAAGCACAGACATGTCGTTATTCCATTCGAGAATTCCAGTTGGAGTCGGTGCGAAAGCGGTCAGGGATGCTGAGGTGGGGATTCCTTGGACAATTCTGAGGTTGGATTCTCCAAAGCCATATTTAAGAATATTAAAGTACTCTAAATTCTGAAAGTTGGCGGGAGCTTTCCATGCATTTTCGCCGGGAGTTGGGGCAGAGGTTTGGGTTGGGCGTGGTTCTGGGGGAGCTGTGATGATAACTGCTTGAGTGATTGTGATTGTATCCAAGATAGTTCGAGTCAAGGGTGTGGTTGTGATCGTGATGAATAAGGTTGATAGTTCAGGGGGGATAGGGAGATCCAGAGAAGAAACAGAAAATGGAGTAGGTGATGGGGACGCGGGAACCCCTGAATGTTCGAAACCGATCGCGATCGCGTGTTCGGAAAGCAATGGTATGCATAATGTTACTGCAATGCTCGCAAGGATAAAAAGAATGATACTCCTCGAATACATTGTTGTAAACGGACGTTATGAGAGCTCGGGGGTGGGCGGCGTCGGGAAGAAGCATGCTTGTAATCTCGGGAAGGTCACGTGCCGTATGAGCGCACGCCGAGAGCACCGTAAGTTTATAAGATCTTCTACCTCCGTCGAGTGGTATCGTTATCCGCACTTCCCTACTGGTACTTTCAGGCTCATGATGGGATTGGACCTACTCCAGGTACTTAACCATCTTCTTGGTGTTTTGGTTTATTCTCGTTTTGATTAACTC